TACCCATGTATGAGCTTTCACTTCAAAAGACTCTCTGAAGCAGGCTGTCGAAACTGTGAAATCTGCTTCAAATGTGCATTTAATGTAACCGGTGTTTCTATGGTAACAACATCCCCACGCATTACAGTCTCGTCCAGCAGCAAATGTTATTTATTGGCACACATATGTACCAGTTATTGCATTTATATGCATATAAGCATATAAATGCTTTTAATAATCCCTTGTCCCAGATATTGGTAATATATTTTAAAGTGGATTGTGACCCTAAGAGGTTATCCATCTGTTTCTAGATGGGCATAAGTCAGATTTGGTTTATTGTAAATTGCTGATGTGACTTATATTAGCACATAAATGACAGATTTGCAGGCTGTGGAAAATGAGGACACTCTATAGCTGTAAGTAGGAAAAATAGTGGGATTTACTAACTGTTGTGCTCAGTGTCCAGGCAAAACTACCATTAGTAAGAAAATCTGATGATAAACAAATTTAATTTGGAACTTCCAACTTTCCAAATGAAATTTCTGACTTGCGGAGATGTTCAGTTTTAACTTTTTCCATTTTAAGACTTGAAAAATGCAACTTCGGCATTCAAATAGAATGCATAATTAGCTATTGGTACTAAAGAACCTGCTGGATAATATTTTTGTCTTGAGTTTAAAGTTAGAACTCCGATTACTTAGAAATTTCATCACACCCGACTTGAGTTCATTTTAGTTGCAAGCAGAAGAAAACAGTCTAATTTTGCTAATTCACCAGGACTAGTGAGAATTACTAGCAATACAAACAAACAACAATGTATTTCTCTCAGGTTTATAAATTCAAACACTGAAGGAACAAGTTCAGGAATAAACATTACACAGTAATTAACAAAGCCAGGTTTGTAAAATATCTTACCAGGACTGACTCTTTCACATAAACCCGGGGCACAAGGCACTGCCACTGGGAGAAGCTTCACATTTTTATTTTTAATATGCAAAAGGAATGGGTGAAGGACAAGTTACTATCAAAACTTTTGACTTGCATGCTGTTAAAAATGGAAGAGGCAGAGACTTTCTGTTTCCTTATCATTTCCCAAGTTGCACTGTAATCTGCGCAATAAGAAGTCCAAATCTCCTATCATGTACAACTATAAAATGTGACTGTAGATTAATTCTGTTTATCTGAGGGATAAGCACACTGTACCTTGGTCCAGTCTGTGACAGAGCGTCATCTTAGCCAGCTCCACCTCCGGCCCAGGGTGGTCCAGGACCCGCCTGCACCACTGGAGAGGGCTGAGCATGCTTTCACTTGGTGGCTTGGCTCTGGGATTCACATACAGCCTGAGACACAGAAGCACTTCAGTCATGTTCTGCAGCCTTTACAGACAACCTTTAAATGATCTCACTCGCTGCGGTACTTAATCTTTGACAGAGAAATCTCTCACTACCAGTAGTTCACAACTGAACATAATGAGGGCTTTATGTATTTTTACCAAATGCCAGAGGGAGTTCTGAGTTTCGTTCTGTTTGAGGCAACAATCAAAAAGGATGTCCTACAAATTCAGCTTGAACCAACTGGACAGTGACCCAAACACATGAAAAATGGCTTTTGCAACGATCACTAATATTAAGGAGATGAAATGTCGCAAGCCTCTTATCACTGGGCAAATTGATGAACCCTACTTTACACTTCATATATAACATTAAGTCAACCAAGTTTAATGAGGTCTACTGACTCTGAGATGAGGATTAGTTAAAAATCCAGCCAGAGCTACATCAGAAATCGATGGTTACAGACTATAATAATGAGTATAAAATGGGACATTTGACCAGATAATATCGGGGTTGTATGTATTTGAGGTTTGACGTCGTAATAATCGGAGTTATAAATCCATCCCCAAAAATAGCAGTTGCGCAAATGATTGAAAGTCCAACATTAATATGGGAATCCCTTCAACGATGAAGGTATGCAAACCTCTGACCAACACTGCTACAGATGAATATATGAAAAAATCACAGCAATGTAACAATCTCAAGAAAACAAAAAGACACATCTAAAATGATAAGAGTTGGTTCCCTGTTAGCTCGGCTACATCTTCTTCACAGAGCGCTAAAATAACTCTAGCAAGGATCTATTCCCGGACTCTCCGAAGTTAGAGAACATAAATAAGACAGAAGCGACCTCAAATTCAACAACTAGGCCAGAGAGTGATTTTAAGGTCAGCTTGTCATGCTAGACGGAAAAAAGATAGGGCAGGAGATGAGCGCCGTACCCCATCAGTGCTGCAATCAGCTGTGTGCTACATTTTCCACATCATCACATCAGATGCGTAAAGCTGCTTCAGTAGTCAGCATGTCAGTTTGAGAGCAACCCAAGTCAGCAGCTCTGGCGCTCCGCACTAGCTCAGCCTGGGGCTGAACACCGCACACAAAGCCGAGCTGTTTGATCATAGACTGAAGGGGGTCATTGTTTCTAAATTCATCCCGGCACATATGCTGCACCCTGCATCCTAAGATTCAGGTCTATTTCACTGGAGCTCCTCGTGAAAATAAGCACACTGTTTTCCCAGTGTTTCTGAGTGTAATCCGTGAGAAGAGTAAACACCATAATCAAAGGAATCGCAAAGAGGAAGAAATCGATTGTGGGGCATTTTTCCGCAAATCACCCACCAGTCACCACGGCATTGCTATCATGTCTTAGAAAATCTGCAAGCTTGATTCTTTGCACTTTTGTATTAGTCAATTTGTGGGGAAGGATCACATTGATCAGTCACATTGATCAGAATGTGATCAGTCACATCACATACATAACAAGATTTTAGTATGAAATGTTTACAATCTTGGTAGCAGCAAATTAATTTTTGTTTCGTTTTGGATTTACAAATCTTTACAGCAGCTTGAGACCAAATCTGTCAATTAATATATCTTATTTGTTTACAAAACAAACACTAATTGTAGCTTAAAATAATAGTTGCTGAAATAACCAGAGATGCTGTAATCAGACTGTTCCTGGCCAATGTTAAAGTTCAGTTTTCTTTGCCAGTGGTTCTAGGGAATGTAACACAAAGATGAGTTCAAAGCTGTTGTGGTATTTTTGATAGCGGCACAAGCTTTGAGTCCACCTAAAAATCTAGGGATGGCGAGACTGTCCCCACTTGTGCATCAAAGTATGAAAATTTCGCTCTTTAGAAAGCGTTAAAATGGATTTCATGATCAGCTTGCTCTTCCAAAAAAAAAAAAAAAATCACAAGTATGTAGTTTTGATATACTTCTCAACACAAAAGCTTTGTTCACTTGTGCCACGGGCTGGCCCAGACAATAATCAAAAAGAAAATATTAACCGAAAAAAATAAATACAATAAACCTCTAGCTTATTGTGTTTTAGTTACAATGCAACAATTGTTAATCTTGAGCAAACAAAGATCACATGTGAGGTTCCTCAGAGCTCTGTTCTTGAATATTTCATGCATGTTACACCAACAGCTCAGACTGTCTTATTATTCTTTTAATATTTTTACTGTAATTTTCTTTCCTTTTGTTCTTTTTTCTCTCTCTTTTTTTTAATAAATCATGCTGGATTACCTTGTATATGAGGGGTGGGGAAATAAATAAAAATAAACATGTCTTCCCTATTAACGTCTGTGAACACAAGTGAGACAGAGTTTTTCCATATGAATTTATGCAAAGCACAAACATGCGTCCACAATAGGCTGTCCGACGTTACAACAGTGGTTACCAGCTGTCGGGCTCTCCGACGGGGAGCACGGCGTTCAGGTCCAGAACATCGACCTCGTCCAACACGGTCGTGTCGCCGCCGCCGCCGCCGTCCTCCGCGGCGGCGCCAGGGGACGCGCAGCTCGGCTGAAAATACGCGAACGGCTCCTCCGCCGGCGCCCGCGGCGCCGAGAAACACGGCCGCGTCGGACTCGACGCGTCGTACTTGCAGGAGAAGCCGTCGCTCGGACACGCCGCGGCCCCGTGCAGACACGACAGCGAGGTGTGGGGGCGAGGGCCGACCGAGCAATTGTTGACGGCGTTCGCCCGGCTCCGCAATTGTTCGTTCTGCCGCTCCAATTTTCGGACCAGCTCCTGGAGCTTCAGCACCTCCAGCTCCGCGTTGGCGATTTTATTGTTGCCGTTGACGTCCGCCATCCTCGGGGGGTTCAGCACCTCTGCCTCCATTTGCTAACAAGCACATTGAGGGGAGCGGAACGCACGGCCTGCTGTCAGAGGGTCTCTTTCGATTCAGAGAGGGTGTCCAGATTCCCCCTTAAAGCCACTACTCAGAGAGAGACTCACACTGATACTGATGCTGCTGCTGCTGGGATGACTGCACAGCCTGCACCTCATTGGTCAGCAGCTTCGAGTTAAATTCCCATCACACCACCACCGAGGAGGTGTTTATTATGGCCACTCTGAAGACATTTAAAAGCACAGATATGCGCAATGTCTTTGTTTACTGGAAGGTGTTTTTTTTTGTAGCTTTTTACTTTTTGCTCTAAAATTTAATGTTAAATATTAAAGGAGCCCAGGAGTCTTTGCATTTTAACCCATACAGTGACAAACTGTATGTGCACCATATTACAACTATGATATATTAAATTTGTTTTCACTAGCAGAATCGTGAAGTTATTTTTCTGACTTACTCTTTTGCTCGGACAGTCGTGACTGAAATGCAGGAGGACACATTTACACGGAAAATTGTCATCTTTACTGACTAATGTGCAGCTATATACAATATATACATTGACGCCTAATGACCTGTCATGATGCACAACTTAACTAATGCAAACTTTCCTTCTGTTGTATTATAAAAAATAAAACAAATCTGATATTTAAACACTTAATAAAATGTGTATTTTTATCATCTTGAACCATTTGGTCTTTTTAGCCTTATGGACAAAATTCATGTTTTGACATCTTTAGTCTGATGAACTTTTGGCCCCCTACTTGGTTTGCTCATGTCTTGGATCAACTCTCCCAAGGAATTGGGTAAATACCCAGCAAAGACATAATAGCAAGTTGATTTTGAATTCCGTTTATTGACAAAGTTATTGAAAAATGCACTCCGTGTATTTTACGTACAGACCAAGTGTTGCGGCTTTATTTAGGGCTGTCTTTCAATTTATAGTAGACACAGTGCTGATCAAATGCCGTTTGCTCTTCCGCCACGTATTTATATTCCATTGCAGTTGAAAAACACAAAAAGAACATTGCAAAGTGCTTTAATAATTTGAAAAATATATTTAACATATATTAACTGAGCATTAACTTTATTTGCTCAGTTGTAGGTTCCACAAAGACAAAGACACGCTCGTATAGAGAATTGCAAACAGGTATTCTTAAATTCCCCTCTAACAATAAAGACAGCCTGACCTTTTACTTTAGATTTTAGCATCCGGTTTAAAAAAAAAACAACAAAAAAACAAACAAAGTCGTCAGTATTTTAAAATTTTATTTAAGTACAAGCCTTTCTTTATTATCTTGTTTTGTTCTGTATTATCACATAATAATTTAGCAGTAAACATAGACCTAAAGAACAGGGACGTTCAAGAAAAAATGTAAATAAAGTAGTTTGTTTATTTGCCCTTATTGCACGAAGAATAAAACCCCGGCCCTCAATATTGTAGAATATCCTGTCGTGTTACTCACAAGAGTCCTCCGAGAAGTGACACATTAAAGAAACTATAGAAAGAGATGTACAATGTAGATGTAGAGACAGCAGGATTATAATACGGACATATTAGTAGATTTTATGCCATGTGTGGCCTGTAGAGTCACATGACAATGATTTTTACGTTATGTAACTGCGATTTATTTTGTTCAAAGCACCCACTTAAAGACATCTCAGTATGACCCTCGTCACCCACACCATCAGAATGCAGTAATCTTTGAGGAGGCTCAGCGGCGCCATTTTTCTGTCAGGAGGAAAGGAATTGTGTTCATTCACATGTATTGATTGCAGAGTCGAACAACAACAACAACAAAGATCCAGCAACGAGATCGTTCATTTACCTCTGGTGCTCTCGAAGCAGTTTTCGCAGTGCACCTTGCGCTTGTAGATCCACATGCTGTCCCCAGCTTTCATGTAGCCCAGAGAGCCGTTGCAGACGTCACACTGCCAAAACAAACAGACGCTTAAATGAAGACGGATAATCATGCTTAGCACACAGCAGCCCGGCTGATGACTGTTAATGTCTGACGTCTTCTGGATAAATGTCACTAAGCACATTTATGTAAGGATTTCAAAGCTGCGCCGAGGGGAAAAGGCCAGAGGAGGACTTCTGTGATGTATTTCACATATTTTACATGTATTGACAGGGAGTGTTGTGGATTTTTGTGCAGCCTCTCTGTGCTGCTTGCAAACCCATCGATACCCAGTATTGACACAGACTTGCAAAAGCAGTAATGACCCTCACGTTTTTAAACATTTTGTCACATCACAGCCACAAACGTCAAGTATAATACATAAGAAAAAAGTATGAAACGGGAGGAAAAAGTTTCAACTCTTTGTTATGGATGATGCGTTCAGGGTCGTTCTCATCTAACCGCAGTATCTCATTCCACATTTAAGCTGCTTTTCCTAACATGACCTGTTGCAAAAATTAGTCAAGAATTATCCTGAGCTTCACTTAATACTCTCTTTGAAGAGTAATTGGACTCTATATAATAACAAAGAGCCATCTGGATTGCAATTTATTGAGGGGTACCAGAAGGAAGGGGGTTGAATAAAACTGGAACGCAACTGTTTTCTGATCAGGTTTTTTTTTTTTAAATGTGAAAATCCTCGGTTATGCTCCATTCCGTGTTGATCTGTCACAAAGCATTCAAGTTGATGAATAAAAGTTGCATCTCGAAACTGAAGGTCTCACTTTGAAGCAGGTGACGTGGCAGTTGATCTTCATGTCGTCCAGGACCATCTTGGCGTCTCCGGTGAAGGGCTTTCGGCAGGTGGTGCACAGGTCCTTCTCCAGCACAGGCCTGTTTCAAACAAAACACCATTGCCTTTTAAAACATGCTAGTTTAACTTTAACTTTGTGAAAAGTCCATCAGCACGTCTCCTCAGGTCACCTATCCTTGACCTCGACCCTCCATGAAACCTTGAAACTCACTCCTTTGCGATAATCTCATTGTTAGTGAAAGTCTTGCAAGCCAACAGCAACAATTTTGCAGGAAGACATTTTGAACCTGGCAAAATGGTGAAACGCTACTTTGGTGGACACTCTCTTCGCCTCAAACAATTGTTGGATGGGCGGCTTTAAGCATTGCCCTCGGCTTGCCTAGCAATGCTGCAGCTAACAGGTCACGGTTTATTTAATGCCGCCCTTGTCTGGCTCAAACTCAAAGATTTTTCTCAGGCTTGAAAATTCATGTCATGTGCTAAGCAACTGTAGCGACGATTTACGTCAGCATGTTGGTGGTACACATATTCACTGCTGACTTTGGCATTTAGCATTTTGCAGTTTCTTTGTGCTGCATATTTCATCATCAAGAGATGCTGGCGGTGTTCTTTTCTGACCTGTCAGGGGACTGATAAACACTCTTCGTGGAAGACTTGGAGTAGATCGGATCTGACAGAATGTCATCTGACAAGCTGCGAGAGACACAACACAAAAGAGTGTTTTTGCCGTTAACCTTATGGCTTGCACCCAATTCCTATCAAGCATCGGTTGAGATCATTTCATACCTGCTGCTCTTGTACGATGAGGAGCTGTAGAGAGAGGGGCTGTTGAGGCTGCTATACTCATAGCTGCAAGAAGACAGAACCAGAGGCACAGTTTACATTTCTGTTGCACTTATTCTTCACCGAACGATTGTTGTTCACTTCCTCTGCCACCCACCTGGAGTCTGGTCTGGAGTAGGAGTAGGTTTTATAGTCACTATTGTGTTTGTGCAAACAGAGAAAGGATTAAAGATAACACCAGATGTATAGTTTATTGCAGTAGTTAACTTTAGATACTTACTTGTATGAGCTGGTGGGAGTGTAGGGAGTATCATCAGTGTTTGAGTTGTAGCTGTTCATCAAATAAATAAATAATGAGTTAAGACATTATTTGGATGCAGTAAAAACTATTTTTTAATTTTAATTTTACTAGTACAACAAAGGAAACTTGTGCATTGATAAAAAAAAATATCTTGCTAAAATGTTTTACACTACCGGAAAAGTTTTTTTTTTTTTTTAAACCCACACAGTCCTCTGAAAGGATTTTTTTCAAAGGTTAGAAAAAAGCCAATTCAGAAATAAGTTTGTTGGGCAAAAATATTCACATCTCAGTTTTAGATTTTGTCACTTTACAACCACAAACTTTGGTTTATGTAGTAAAACAACACAAATAGTGAATAATTATGGGGGAAAAGAAAAATAAGCCAATGTTTTAAAACATAAGACCTGCGTTGTCGTCAACCCCTACCTGAATGCCCCTTAATAGAAACCATTTTACTTCAAGAACCTTCCTAATCAGTAAATAGTTTCCCCACAAACATAAACTGATGTCAGTTTAAAGTGAAAGCTTCAGTGAGTTTTTTTTTTCTTCTTTTGACAACATTTGTGAACAACGGCACAAAGTTTTGGTGTTTACTATGATAATTCCCCTCTTCGTTTTGCTTGAACTGTTTAGAGGATGGATATAAGTCTACTGTTTTATTCATTTATTGACTGAAACATCTCACCTGACAGGAGATGTGATGGCTTTAGGCGGGAGGGTGTCATAGAGCTTATCCTTGGGCCTGTTAAAACAATGACATCACCACAGCTGTAATTCAGACGATGTGATGGCGTGCTACATAAAAATGGAGGACAGGTCTCAACTTACGTTGAGGGGGACTTTACTGTGACTGCTGGTGTTTTGGTGTCATCTCTAGAAATTAAAATGAGAAAACAACAACATTTAAATAGACTTCCTGGCATAACAAACACTTATTAATATTGCTATTAATAGTTATATTACATGCAGTATATTCAGTTTTGATATATAAATACACTTTTTGATTCAATTTAACTCACACAGTGTTGGAGCTCTTCACTGTCACAGTCTCACTGCTGGACACAGTTGGTTTTTTGCTGTAATTGAAAAAATATTCCAATTAGCCTACATTTTTTTTTTCAATACAACATAATGCAGTAATTGGTCAGATGAATGTTTCACATTATCATGGCATTACTGGGATTTCAGCAACTTGTATTCAAGAAAGCTGAAATGCGCAATAGAGAAAATCCTGCTACCTCTCTTCATTCTTGATAGCACTGGGAATCAGTGTGTCATAGAGTTTGTCCTCAGCACTGCAAGAAAGGATAAATATAAAATAATTAATTTACCAGTAGTGTACCACACTGCTGTTGGTTTTTATCTATCTATGCAACAGAAATATGAAGAGGACGATTTTGCATTTTTGCAAAACAGCTTCCAATGTGGCAACAAATTCACATCACATTTCATACACATTTGCATTAAAAATGCATATTTAAAGAATGTTTAAGCCTCTGAACCTTAAAAGCTTTAAAAACTGAAATAACTCTCTGAAACAATTCATTGCCAAACTTTCTTCAATATTCAAAATCCATGTCTGCATTATAAAAATGTCCCAATGTGCCCATTAGTTATGATGCTGGCTATGTGGCTGTACAGATCAGTACCACACTGAGCAAGTCACCAACACAACCCTCACACATCCACTGTTCACACACCTACAGACCAGCTGAGCATCCAATAAGTCTACTTTTTTTTTCAATACAACATAATGCAATACAAAGCTACATAATATAATATAATATAATATAATATAATATAATATAATATAATATAATATAATATAATATAATATAATATAATATAATATAAAATAATATACTATAATATAATATAATATAATATAAAATATAATATAATATAATATAATATAATATAATATAATATAATATAATATAATATTGTATTGCATTTCATTGTACTGTAACATTTCAGACATTATGTGATGTGATACTGGTCAGATCACATAATATTGTACAGAGTACTGCCATACTGCAGAGTATTGCATTGCATCATCTGTTCAGAAATATTTTCATATTTCATATTACATCAGATTGTTTCGGATCACATTGTGTTGTACATCTGATCACAATTCTTTAGATCTTATTGTATCACATTGTGATGTATCGTATTATATTGCATTGCACTGCATCACAGAATGTTGTATATCCTAACATATTGTCTAGAATTGCATAGCACCTATTACGTTGCAAAACATTGCATTTTATTCTGTAGTTTTGTATCACATTGCAGTGTATTGAGCCATATCGCCGTATTTTTCTGAGGCACCTCACATGAAATTATTACAGTGGTTTGATGACACTTTAAAGTATGGGGTTAAACTTACATCGCATCACTGCTACTTTTCACTGTCCGAGGCTGAGTTGTTTTGCTATAAAGGAGAAGAAAATACATCATGATGAGAGTAAATTCAAACACTCCCGTGTATCAAAGCACATTTGTTGTAACTTTCGGCCTGGTAAATGAAAATATCACCTGTCTTTAGTTGGGGCGTTGTCCTTCAGAGGTGCGGGGGTCAGTGAGTCGTAAAGTTGATTGTCTGCCCTGCGTGGAAAAATATTAAAGGTAAAACATTTTAATATAAATTAGTATATACTATAACATCAGGGAAATTTAATATGTTTAAATCTTACTCTTTAGTGGTGGTAATAGTCGGTTTTGTTGTCTTGGTAGGCGAGTAGCTTGAATACTGTGACCTAGATGTGAGAACACGACAAGTGATAGCTTTAATAACATAAAGCTACATAATTTTTAAAGTTTAGTCAGTAATATGTTTAAAACAAATTTATGTCAGATCATGATTCCTAGGTTAATGTCTGGTCGTCATAACAAAGACATTTTGAATAATGTCGACTTTGTATTAAAAGTGTCACGATTTACCGAATGTTACTTTATCACATTTGGTATGACAACAGTAGTAAATATTTATGAAGACTTACGCAGGTTCATGACAGGTGTCGTGTCATGTTTAAGACAGTGTCATTACAGTCCTATTCACAACCCGTCAAATAAAAAGTTACCAAATATTCCAGTAATTGGCCAGATGAATGTCTCACATTATCATGGCATTACTGGGATTTCAGCAACTTGTATTCAAGAGTTGAAATGCACAATAGAGAAAATCCTGCTACCTCTCTTCATTCTTGATAGCACTGGGAATCAGTGTGTCATAGAGTTTGTCCTCAGCACTGCAAGAAAGGATAAATATAAGATAATTAATTTACCGGTAGTGTACCACACTGCTGTTGGTTTTTATCTATCTATGCAACAGAAACATGAAGAGGATGATTTCACATTTTTGCAAAACAGCTTCCAATGCGGCAACAGATTCACATCACATTTCATACACATTTGCATTAAAAATGCATATTTAAAGAATGTTTAAGCCTCTGAACCTTAAAAGCTTTAAAAACTGAAGTAACTCTCTGAAACGATTCATTGCCAAACAGTCTTTCTTCAATATTCAATATTATAAAAATGTCCCAATGTGCCCATTAGTTATGATGCTGGCTATGTGGCTGTACAGATCAGTACCACACTGAGCAAGTCACCAACACAACCCTCACACATCCACTGTTCACACACCTACAGACCAGCTGAGCATCCAATAAGTCTACTTTTTTTTTCAACAGATGAAAAATGCATTATATAAGGTCTAATCAGAGGGAATTTTAACTAGAGATGCAGTAAATATGTGAAAAATATATTTGCTAGTTTGCATTTGGATTTTTGTGCAAACATTTCACCTTGGTTGTTTTTTGTTTAGCTTGGACTTGAAATGAAGACAAATAGAATCAATCGCCTGCCATAATCACTTAATCATATGCTGTGACTTTTTATGTGCATTTCTTATACTATAAGATAATGTAATATATTATAACATAATACAATACAATACAACACAACACACTATAGTACAATATAATATTGTACAAAGTACTGTCATACTGCAGAGTATTGCATTGCGTCATCTGTTATATCATAGGGAATATTATCAAATTACATCAGATTGTTTAGGATCACATTGTGTTGTACATCTTATCATAATTTATTTGATCTTATTGTATCACATCGTAATGAAACGTATTATATTGCATTGCACTGCATCACATAATGTTGTATATCCTGACATTGTTTGGAATTGCATAGCACCTATTACGTTGCAAAACATTGCATTTTATTCTGTAGTTTTGTATCACGTTGCAATGTATTGAGCTGTATTTTTCTGAGGCACCTCACATGAAATTATTGCAGGTTAACTGTCATCAGCAGTTTGATGACACTCTTAAAGTATGGCGTTAAACTTACATCGCATCACTGCTACTTTTCACTGTCACAGACTCAGTTGTGGTCACAGTTGTTTTGCTATAAAGGAGAAAAAATGGTATAAATTTAAACACTCCCGTGTATTAAAGCACATTTGTTGTAACTTTCGGCCTGGTAAATGAAAATATCACCTGTCTTTAGTTGGGGTGTCGACCTTCAGAGGTGCGGGGGTCAGTGAGTCGTAAAGTTGATCATCTGCCCTGCGTGGAAAAATATTAAAGGTAAAATATTTTAATATAAATTAGTATATGTTATAATACCAGGGAAATTTGACACGTTTAAATCTTACTCTTTAGTGGTGGTAATAGTTGGTTTTGTTGTCTTGGTAGGCGAGTAGCTTGAGTACTGTGACCTAGATGTAAGAACACGACAAGTGACCTTCATTTTCAGTTTCAAAAGTATCTGATATACACAGATTGCATATAAAAGATATGTTAAAAAAACTGTTTGTTAAAATTTTCTCTGTTTTTAATGGTATAATGTGGTTACTAAGAAACTTTAAATTAGTGCTTTGAAGAACAAATTTGACAAGGAGGCAATTTGCAGCTTTTAAACAGACAGAAATGGCAATTCTGACAATTAACAGTTTCTGGTAGGAGATTTCTAAAATAGTTCAATCAAAATAAATTAAAACAATAGATCAGAATAGAAGAATAAATAACCAATAACAAAATGTAAAGCTCATATTACACTGTAGATCTGCTCTAGTCAGTATATTTCTTACGTCTATAGTTAGATTGATTCTTACTCTTTGCTTGAGGATTTGACGCGCTCCATGAACGTCTCAGTTTTGGTGGGTGATTTTGTCACAGGACTCCTGTAAGGAGACAAAAATGGAAAAAGTTATGATAAAGAGAAAACAACTATAAAATAGCTCTAATATAATGATGAAACAAATCATGACGTTTCAGAGTATTTATATTTGATTCCCTACTTGACACTTTGGGTGGTGGTGGTGGTGGTCTCAGTTGTCCCATCCTTGGTCACAGTTGTGGTTTTAGTGCTAAAAGGGGAAAACAAAAAGGCAATAAATAAAATAGTTACTGCATTTCTATGTTTACGTTCTGCCGTCCTGCAATAACATTAGAAATATGCAATTAAATATCAAATGCTTTCTTGTTTGATTATATTTCCATGATACAACATTTTACACAATAATTGACTCTCCTGGTAAAAAATAAATAAATAAAAATAAAAAGGTGTAAAAAGTCTTGAAATAAAATAATCTTTGCAGTAATACAATGTCCCAATTTTTGTGAAATACAAGAGCGGTGCTTACGTGCTGGATGTTTCTGTCTTCCCACTGGAAGTTCTAGTGAAGCAGAAAGTGGATTATACCAAAAAGCATTTGTATATCCACATAAAACATCATATGCATATAGTGTGTACATGCATAAACGCACTATAAATTGTGTATATATGTATAACATGACCTCAGATATGAAAATGTACCTTTTTGTGTAGTAAGATGGAGACCTGACAGTAGAAGAAAACCTTATTTTAGTCATGGGTTAATATGAAAAAATGTATCAGGTAATGATATAAATACTGTAGAACTGTGTATTTACCACTGCTACAACTGCCACTATACTATTAATAAAATAACAATATAAGCAGAAAAAAAAATAATGATAGAAGAATAATAATGGCACTAACATAGTTTTCAGGTCATCTGTGCTTCCACTGAACCTGCAATGAGAGAACTCAGAAGGTAAGGCTCGTGTTGTAGTTTATTAACGAATTGATATAGGTGTGATATTATATGTTTGCCAAGCACATGATGCAATTTTGTAGCACGAGTAAACAACTATGTTACCTTCATTTATTTTAAAAAATGTGTACATATCAAATTTTATGTCTTTGCAAGACTTTGCAATTTGATGCCTTGAAATTAGACGTTTGTCTCTTTAAGAAGCTCCTCCTCCCTCTGACACCTCATCACAATATCCCTTCGTTATCATGTTTACAACAATTTGTGGGAGCATAACACTGAGAAGTAGCTCATGTAACGAGCTCAGCAGTCTCGCACTTCCACCAGGCGTTTGTAATCATTGCTGCCGCTAGTCTGGAGGAGCTGATTGGCTCAGCTGGAGACTGCAGCTCCAAGATGGAGGTTTGTGGAAATAGATAGTGGTTTGTCAGAGCAGGTGTTTTGCCAAATGAATGTCTGCCAATGGGAGATTCGAGGATTTCTCAAACGTGCATGAAAAAAATCAAAGCAACACTCAAGGTATGTTTCTGATGAGGGACCGACATTGCAACAATATAATGTAATTTTGTAAAGCTCAAAAAGTTGATTTTACACAATACCCCCTCCTTTAATCTTCAAAACCTTTCAGCCTACTAAAATGCTATTACCTCTTGGTGAGAGCTTGAACAGATGAGGGTGAACTTGTTTTAGTTGTTTTTGTTGGCTTGGGTTCTGAGCTACTGTTTAAAACATAAAGACAACATGCATCACTTATTAATGACACAAATAACACAGAGATGTAGTCCATTTCACTTAGTACTTTGGGTTGTGGAGGTTTATGTTTGTCTTACCTGTCGGTAGTATCAGTGTTATTCACTCGACTCAAGACACTTTTACCAAAGTTTGGGTCTTGGCTGTGAGAGAGGAAAGATAAATCATTTATCCATGCAGTCATGAGTCAACACTGTGACTCACAAAAGGAATGCAAGTATGTCTGAAGGTGCGCTCGGTACAGGTAACTCTCGTCTGTCCAGCCAGTCGTAAAGGGTGTGAGCCGTCTTGCCTTCAGTATCTGTATACTTACTCGACGGGCTCGTCCTCATCATCATTTTTTCGGATCCAGCTGTTGTCCTTCAGCAGAGAGGTTTTCTTCTTGTTGTCCTCGAGCGCTTTGGTCTTGGCTGCAAACAAACAACACAGAAACATGTATGATCATCCAGGAGCCCATGTTCTGCATATTTAAATGCTTCTTATGTCCACTCAAAGGTTCATGTGAAAAAAAGTCAAAACAGAGTGAAAAATTTGTGCACACTTGCATTTTTTCTTTTTATTTACCATCATTTTCATTAAGTATCACTGCACTGCTTTCATAGTATGTCAGTTTCAAAACACACACAGAAAAAATGTCCATAAATCATTCTTCAGGTGAAAGTCTTTTTCATGAGATGCCAGAGCAAGCAAAACGATGTCATGCTGACCGTCCCCCACTTGTTGCTAAGCACTGCAGGCCAGCTGGCAGTGCTTAATTGAGGTTCTGTTGTTTACAAAGTCAACAGATACAGTTGTTTGGAAATATTTGGGGTTAGGAATAGTACAGTCATGGAGTGGAATCTAGAGGAGCCCCACCTTTCACCTGTTTTGACACTACTGTTGCTAAGATACGAGCGGCATTTCTTCACGCTAACTTCCTTAGCAGTTAATATTAACATGTTGTAAAGCAAAAAGGTATAATATTCAGTGCAATGAACTTCTAAACTATGACTGAATTATATGAGTGTTATACATTGTTGAAACCAAAGCAACAATATTTACACATCATACAGAACACTATTTATATATATACACTGCTCTGGGAAAAAACAAAACAAATTATTGATCAGTTGATCAGTTTCCCAGATTTTAAATTTTTTCAGGTATATGTTTGAGTAAAATAAACATTGCTCTTTTATTCTATGAATTACTGACAATGTGTCCCTGAAATTCCTAGCAAAAAGTTTGTATTCAGTTGCAGAAAATGAGAAATGGTCAAAATAACAAAAAAGATGCACTGCTTTCACACCTCTAATAATGCCAGGAAAACATATTCATTTAGAAACAACATTATTATTATTTTAGCACAGGAAGAGTTCAGAAATCAATATTTGGTGGAATAACCAGGAGGTTTTCAATGGGGTTCAGTGCAGTGCAGAGATGCACATGTATTCTATTGATACATATAACTTGTACTATATCAAAATACATGGGGTCAGTGTCTGCATTGTCCCCCTAGCAAACAACATCACAATTTGAAAACCGGGTTTTGTATTTAACCTTGTTTTCTTCGTCTACTTTTAAAACTGGTTTGATGATCAAAAACAGCAGAGTGGCAAAAAAAAGCAAGGACAGCAGAAATGTGCGAGGGGCAAACATTTCACATAGAATATGATTGTCGAGATATTGTCAGCAATGTGACGCAACAGTTTGAACAATTCCGTTGTTACTCATAACAATGTAAATACTTACAAGTTGAGTAGTAGCTCATTTTGGCCTCTCACCTGAAAACGACAGAGGAAAATAGAGCACATTAAATGGACGGTAGGTGGCACTGCAGCCTAGGAATGTAAATGTGAGGCGGCATGTTGAATCTCGACCTGAGAACTCTGATCTGAAATTACTCATTCTTTGCGTTTGCATGCTTGTCATTTTCTCTGGTTCAAAGTGTTTTGTGAGCAGCTTCCATTGATGACCCTGCTGGGTTTGTCGCTGCACCTTCGGTCCAGGCTCAGTGATTAAGCCATAAACTGGTTTGTCTTGATCTATGCCCACATGTAGACACACCCACCCTCCACAACACTCCTTCTCCAAACACACCATTGTCAGCAAAACAGAGGGGCATACAGTGACATACCAGAAAGTACTAAATGAATAAGACGGCAGACATGGTCAAGTGAAATTATTATCAGGCATGCAGGACAGAAACAGTATTTTGTAAGAGGTTTCTGCTCTCTAAAATCTGTGTGTTTTTGAGGGAATCCTAAACAGTTGAAGAAGAAAAAATTCTTTACAATAGAAAACAAAAATTGAGATGCAGCTATGATCCTGCAGCTCAGCTCAATAACATGAATTTCTTGCTTATTGTCCTTCATTTCATCCCTTTGCTATTAATATCACACGAAGCAGCAGGATTAAATCAGTGCTTTCACTGTACAGGAGGAAAACGGTTTGCTGTTTCACTGTATCAGCCACAGCAGGAATAGTTTTAACTGTTAGAGTAATAACTATCACTTTATGTGCATCGTCTGAATTGTTTCAGAGTATTACGTCTGTTTCCAGTGACGAGGATTCATTCTCCAAAAGGCAAATCATTCAATGAGCGGTACATAAACTAAAACTGCTTTCACTTAAAGATTTTTTTTTCAGCATCTTGAAGTCATCAGTCGAAGGAAAAGTATATTTCTTGCTCTTAAAACTAATTTTATTATATTTTTATCCCCATAAAAAAAGTGTCTGAGTCCCAGAATTTTTTAAAAATTGTTTAGCAAACATGTTCCGTAAAACTACAAGTTGACACTGAGGTTAGGCTCCTTTGCATTATTGTTTATCTTTCGATCATGTTAAATAAAATAAATTGTATTTTTCTTTTAAAGTTTCGAGGATTAGACCTTTTTCTGTGATCACTAAAAACAACATAAATAATACGAATAAAATTACAAAATCATTGAGGGAAAAGTTATGACAGAAAGCTTGATGCGTACCTCTGGAGACAGCTCTGTTCCTGGGTTTTAAAGGTAAAATCCTCACTGTCGCTCAGGCCTGAACACCTGTCTATCACACACAATCACGCCTTTGTCATTCTTCTGCTTTTAACCTCAAGGGGACGCCACCCTTTGGGAGTGGCCTAGCAGAGGACTCAAAGAAACAGTTTTCCTCTTCCTCCATCGTCATCATTTCCCTCTTAATTATCAGTTTCTACGTGCAGCCTGAGCTTTAAAGGAACTGGGTGGAGTTGTGCTGAAATACCTGCTCCTCAGCTTTGGTGTTGCTGTCTTTCTAGCACAGTCTGGAACGAAGCAGCTCGGCTGAACCCTGACCCCTGGAGCATTTCAATCACAATTTGTGGACATAAAGTGAGCAGATTGATCTCAGTGGGCCATTCTGGAACATGATTACTCACCAGTGTCTTGCCAGAGTTGGTCTTTTACTGCGTTATTCCTGAGACGAGACTTTGTACTTTACCTGTGCTGATTAAAGTACTACAGTGCTCGTTACAATTAGCTGGGAACTCCACAAAACTGGCCTTCAAGAAAGAGTGGTACAGAGAAAGCTATGAGAAGTCCTGTTTAAACACTGTAAACACGCATAGATGAACGTGCTCTCCTCCAAACGTGAACCTTGTGGGTTACATCGAAACACACAGCGTGTGAAGTTAAAGTGCCAAATTTCTCCCCTGAACGTGTCACCCCCATAATGAATTAAAGTAGTGGCTGCATCATGCTGTGGGGATGCTTTTCTTCAGCAGGGAAGCTAATCTGAACCAGTGGGTGGACAGATTGAGCTGAATGGAAGAAAAGCAGTGAAAGGACACAAAGAGACAGCAGGTTGAAGCATACAGCCAGAGCAGGGCTTGATTACTTTAACAAAGTTTCTTTCTTGGTTCCAGCAAATACAATATCTGACTTAGATTTGAGACAGTGAAGAACAGATCTCAGGGAACCCAAAAGTTCAAAATCTACCTCCATGATACATGATGCACTATGCAAGTACGAGGTGAACATTTTCAGACTGGTTCCTAATCAGGGGTGCCAACATCAGTCTGAAAAGAAATCACACTTTGAGCAAGCGAGAAATGTGCCATTGGGTGTGCCGTGTTCTGGGTGATCAGAGGTATGACAGGTGCGCAGTCACTTTCATACCTGGCTTGGGTGTGACTGAATGTCACTAATAGGTGAGCCCCTCCCGGTCAATGACAGTGAAGAAGGAATGCAGACGGGTCCAGAATGACAGAACAATAGAGGGCAGTGTCCAAAGACAGTTGAAACCTTTTTTTTTTGTCAATTTTGGACAATTATTGGTGACCAGTTGTGAAAGAAAAACTCCACACAAACTTCTTTTTTTTTCTAAGCTCTTTTGAATTTTAGGCTTTATAAAGTAGCGTTCTGATGAAGATCAACTTGTAGGCTTTCGCATGTGTTTTTACTCTACATTGCCTGTTATAACTATCCCCAAACATCAGCAACATTGATTGATTACTTTGTCATTATTGATCCTGAGTTGCTTGGGACCCCATAATGATGACAACACCTATTGCAAAATTCAGAATGAACACTAAATGAATGTTAATCCAACTCATTGGTAACAGATTTTTCTCTCAATAACTCACCGATATTCAGAAAAGTGACACTTTAAATAGTTTAAATACCAAACTTGTAATTTAAACAGCTATTTGTTTAAATGAATCACAATAGCTCATTAAAAACATATGGAATACATATATTTATTTTAATTGCAGTCAAGCAAGAGATGGCCCAGTTTATGTCAAATTATCTGTGATCATTCAAGATATGTGCTAAATTCTCTATTTGAAGAAATACATTGGAACATTATATTAAATGCTACAACATGGAAATAATAAATATTTGTAAAATCACAATGTCTGACAATGTATTTTTAATATGTTTTCTGACACAGAATGAGATTTTTATTTATTTATTTTTTAGCAAACAACTTCTACACAAAACTTTTCATTTCTGGCATGCCATTTCCACTGTCCAGGTTCCCTCCGAATGAATACCCCACACCTCCCTCTACTGGCGAATATCTCAACCTCAAACAGCATCCTTGAACACAAAGGTATACATCCACGTTTCTGAAAATAAATAAACACAGACTCTTTATAGTAGCTTATATAGCTCTGTATTAAATATCATATTTTGTAACTAACGCTATGTGCTTTAGAAGAGTCTTATTTTCACAGGAACAAATCTCGAGTGGTTTTCACTTGCTGAAGCAGCTTTGTTCTGAAGTGTATTTTATTCTGACAGTTCGACATTCACACCTATTGGTTTGGTCAGAAGTTTACATCTAGTCAGTATGGACATGAATATCATGTGAACTGTGGTCTTTAACAACAAATTTGAACCATTCTTTAATTCAGGGTGGAATTATTATACAACATACAACTTCAAGAATTTTTAAAAAACAAGAATTGGATGCTCCATCTTGATTTTGCTTTGATTTTCATGTGATTGACAAGAATGTATCCTGCCACAAACATACATATGACCCCGCCAAAATCAGAACGAATTACCTTTCGCAAGTTGTACATAAAACTTTAGAATACAGAATGCTGTAAAGCTTTGCCAAACAAAGTTTTATAACATTCTGCAACGTTTTCTTAACTCAGCCACAATGCAGGTGTTTTGAGTACAAATGTTCTTTTAAAAGTTCAAGCGACAAAATCTCAGTGTAATGTGGCTGACTGCTGTGACTGAGGATTTGAGTGCGTGGCTTTTTTTGCAGCCCTATCAATTTCCATACTTATGTTAAGCCTAAACGTGACACGCAAATGTCATGAAATGAGTGTTAGAAGCTTGAAATAAGTTTTAAAGTGTGTTTGACATGTTCCTAATGTATGTAGAAATGATGGAGAACATAACTGATGTACATTTAAAAAGAGTAGCTGGTGCCCAGTTTGTAATAATTATTTACATGTCTTTCGTTGACAGAATGTTTGCTTGGCCAGCTGATTGAGGGCTCTTGATCTAGAATGCATTTTGCAACGTGAGAACAAATAAAGATAACAGCAGACTGCAAAACTGATATAACAGTCTTTCTTTGTTATAATAAGTAGCAAGCTCTGGGTTTTCCATCCGACCTGGTTTATAAACCTGTGTAAAACATGTAAATCCTTTGTCATATTTGCCATATTCTTCTGTGCCGTTGAGTCTGTGGCATTATCTTGGCCCAGATAATCTTCCTCTTCCTCCTTGATGGAACAAGAGCGAAACGATACATCCAGGGGTTAAATCTCTGGACTCCTCATGTGGATGTGTGTTCAGATTGCACAAACAAAAGCAAATCACTCCTTCTATTTAAGGATTGACAGGAAAATACTCTTCAGGGATTCTCTTTGTCACATGTCTCTAAAAACTCAAGGAGACTGCTCCTTGATCTCTAACACGCTGCTACTGATGCTGATAGCCACTAAAGGCTTTCTGGGTTGCTATGAAAAGAGACAATATAGATGGACTTCTCCCCTCGTCATTGGGCCGATGCAATGCCTCGCAGCCAATAAAACAACACAAGCGGCATCTCTGTTCCTCTCCCTGCCTCAGCAAATGTGAATGTATGCTAGCAGGAGACGTCCCTCTGAGAACAGAAAGGTCCAGGAGGATTTATTTCTTGCTAAATACATGGTCGCACATCGCAAACATTGCACGTAGTACATCATGATAATGTCTGCTTCATGCACCTGCTGTCCTCGTCTACCTCTGCACCGCAGGGGGTTTCGGCCTTTGCTGACATTTTGGCTGATGTTGTCGAACACAGTTCCCCTCCTGCACCATTCCTTCTGTTGCTCCTTGACAAGAGAAAGTCTGAGTATAATCCGAACCTCTGTTCTGTATTTCTAAGAATTCCAGCAACACAATACATTTTCTTTATGTTTAGACAGAAAAATTACTACATCCTGAGTGGTGGGCAGTGATTTTATCAGGATATTTATCAAATTAAAGGGTGGCTACAACTCTTGTGCAAGTACAGTAAGAGGTCTGAGATCAAATTCTCACTGTTTAACACTTTTCACCAGGGAAAGGTTAACTATACAAGCACATAATATTTGTCTTGTTGACCAATAAATACATTTTATGGTGTGATATATAAAACCAAAACTGTTTCAACATAATCCAACCTCATTTTTAAAGGCCATACGGATAACAAACCTTGTTAAACCTATCTGATGATGCAAATTTATATGAACCCTTGCTTTTTCACATGCTGTGTCTCACATATTTTATGTC